CTTTTGAGGAGCTGCGGAGAGGCCACAGCAGCATGAGTTGCTCTCCCAGCCACATTTGGAACCATCCATTGAGAGAGTGCATCCTGTGGCCGGCGATAGTTCAGTCCAAGTGGATCAGTCTGGGCAGCTTTCAGTGGTAGTGATCAAGCCAATAGCTTCTCAGGCTCCTCTTGAATCTCACTATCTGCTTGAGGAGAGAATGTGATGAAAAGAAAATGATTCTGTGTTTTCTGTCCAGTAATTTTTGCTTGTTGTTTTACATAGTCTAGCCCTGAGCACAGATTGAAATAGAGAAAGAGATTTGGTTCTCCCCTCCTCCCCTGCCCACTACTAATCACATTCCCTTCCTACCTTAAGTAAGGCCACTGCCTAATATTTCTGAATGTTTGAACTGTTCCTTTGGTCTTGGCAGAATAAGATATCATTTGATATTTTCACTCACCTTTTCCAAAGGGGAGACAAAGCACAGGGTAGTGTGAAAAGTCATCTGAAGTGATCGGCATTAAAAGACAAAAGCTGCTGAAATGTGAGAGTGATCTTTGAACTGTATATTAAAAATCAAATATTTTAAAAGACTGTTTATGTGAAAATTAATAGCCTGATTTTGTTGACAGTTGAAGTCTTCAGCTGTTACCATGGCATGTTTTAATTCCCTGTCTGCGCTGGTATTTCCTTCTGAAGAAATACACAGGCTTATTGCTCTGATATTAAAAATGCCATTTGCTTCTCATGTTCCAGGTGATGATTTCTGTTTAAGTAAACTTATGGTACATGAAGTGAAGGCATATGAACCTCGCAGACAGCATTACAGATGCTCCCTTTTCTCCATCATGTGACTGCTGCCTTCAAAGATCATTTTGTCCTGAGCCTAGACAGTTAATCCAAGTCTTTCACAGAGATAAATATGGGCAGGCAGCATTTTTCAAATAGATTTGAGTAGTGCACGGGGAACCTAAATTGTTTCCTGAATGACTTTTTCATGTGTGAAGGATGTAACTGTAACACAGTTGTTTCTTTAATTTTTTTCTGTTCATGTACAAAGCTTCCTTTCCCACAAAAAAGCCAAATCATATCCAGTTCATTATCTTATACTTACAGGCCAGGTCAATGGTCTGCTTTGGGTAGTTGTCTTCAGAAATTCTTCAGACAATGTCTTTGCCATGGAATTTAATGCTAGTCACTTGATTTATTCTTTTTTTTCCCCCAGACAGACAAGCTTGACTCTTGAGAAAAGTTACAGAGATCTCAACTCTAGTTCTCAGTGGACCAAAGTCCATATCACAAAAAACCATTCCTACAGTGAGTCAGAGTTGCCCTGCGGTTGTAAGTCCAGTGAAGGGTTGAAGCAGCCCCAAAACCTGGCCGTTCAACATGGTCCCTTAGTTCAAAGCTGAGGGGTAGTGGTGAGCCTGTGTGAGGCAATCTGTTCTTCTGCTAGAAATACTGCCCTGAAAATAAGGAGATTTCAAGCTTTAAGTGTGCCAGATAAGACTTTTCTACAGACATTAAATTCTCACAGAATTTTTTTTTAAGAGCGTTTTTGTCATACACTGTCTGTTTTGCTGAGAATATACTTGCCCAAGTTTCATGCCAGGTTGAATCTCAAAAGAGACCAAGAGATTTATGAGTACTCTCACAGTGAATCATGTCTGAGATTCTTTCTTGGCTCTTATATTCTTAGCATTAATAAACAGTGATTTCTTTCATTCACTTGCTGCTGAACTTTAGTTTGTATATGTGATGACTATGTTTGGAAGGGATTGAACTGGAGTGATGCTAATATAATTTATCTGACTCTTTGAATTTTGTTTTTAAATGTAGGATCTTAAAAAGAGAAGATTTGCCATCCTACAATATTCCCCCTCCCACCATAACCTCGAGAAAATGTAAATAGAATTGACACCTTCTTTACATTTTCTTGAATGTAGTGTGTTTATTTTGGTTTCAGTTAATCTGATGATAGGTCACTGAACAATGTTTTTTTCATTAACAGCAAATATCAGAAGGCCATGCAGCCTATAAGGTATCAACATAAGGAAATGAACAAGAATGTATAGTTCCTCTTGTTTGCACTTTCAGCAGTACAGGATGCTCTTGTTACTGTACAAACAATTAGCATAGTGGAAGAGGCATTTTTAATTTAGGACTGTTTAAATTATCAATTTCTGTATTTTTTAGTTTTAGTAGTAGATCTCATTCTGGTTATATATTTAAAAAGCAGAGTGAATAAATGTACCTCATTTACTTCATCCTGTAAAGCACATTTTGCTAGGAAATCACCATGGCCTAACTTGAGCCTTTCTGAGGACTGATAGACTTACAGCTTTGAGCCCGGTAAGCCTCTAGTGAGCCTATGCTGTGAAGTATTCACCTCTGCTTTGTACAGGGAGTTAACTTCCATGTAAAAGTGAAAAAAATAAAGTGGTTCCTGAATTGCATGCAGAGTTTTTCACTCCATTGATGTCATACAGATGCATCAGATTTTGAGGGTATTACTTGATATGATATAATTTGAATCACCAATACACTGCTGATCTAAGTTAAACCACAAGGTTTAAACATGGAGGTTGGAATTGAAAACAAAGTGTATGGCCTGGAAACAGCTGTTTTGGTCCAACAAATTACCATCTCAAGTATAAGGCTTGATTAATTTAAATAATGTATAAAAACAGTTACAAAAACTGTGGCAGAAATGTTGCCTCTAATTAAATTCAGGCATTCAAATGTTTAGAAAGGATCAATTAATGATTGTGAAAATAAAGTAACTGTAACAGTTATACAGACTCTTGTACAGCAGTTTCTGGCAAAAATTACAGCTGACAAGAGGGTAGCTTGTCATCATAAGTAGTTGTACAAATGTTCAAATGCCAGTAGCCCAGAGAAGAGAAACGGAGGCTTTTGACTTGGATGTAATCCTTTGCAGAGCTTAAGGAGTCTAAACACTGCTGGAGGTCTGACTGTTCAATGGGTTTTAAAATAGAAAATTTTCTCTCACACCCTGTGATCAGATTTTCCCATGTTCTTTCCATGCTTTTCAGGCTCCCCAGTACCACCCTCTCTTACTGGGCTCACTCAGCAGAGCCATGTCTCACTGCAGCCAGCCAGCACAGAGTGGTGCAGCTGCTAGCTGAGGTAGACTTCAGGCAAACAGTACAATTTTGTACCTAATAGTATCTCTTGAATCAAACATATCCTCGTGCAATCCATCCAGCAGCATTTAAAGGTCAAAACCCCACCTCATTACTCAATATCTAGGCCTTCTGCTTTGCCTTATTCATTGTCTGTGCAGATCTGACAGACTGTTCCAGACCATCCTTGTGTAATGCTGGAAAGTGCTAACAGCCACTGTCCAGTGAGTCTCTCTCTATAAAGGCAACTGCAGATCACAGGAAAGCTGAAGCATTTGTTACACAGCCTTAGATCAAGCAAAATAAACCTTCTTCCCTGAAAACAGTGGAACAGTGGAAGCTGCCATCCAGCAGGCTGTGCCGAGTGCACTCAGGACTGAGCCACACAGGCTGGGGCATTGTCACAGGGAAATTTCTGCAAATGCTGCTGGAGGCATCATTTGATTGCAATGACCACAGGTAGAAAGCACCTGGAAAACAAAAGGAAAATTACAAGATCTGAAAAGAAATTGTGAGCATGCCTGAGAGAAAGAAACAGAAGCATCCCTGCAGTAGACAGGAACTGGTGGGAAGTCAGGCTTGGAAACAATGAGCCTGAAAGCCTACTGTTGTATCTTCTTTATTTGAGAAAGCAATACTTTGTAAAGGTACTCCAAAAATGAGTTCATTCTGATTAGTAATCTGTTCTTACCTGTAATCCCAGTAGTTAAAATATCTTTGTGGCTAGCTATGAAGAACCCCCACTAGCGCAAAAAAACACAAAAAGTTTATGTATGTATATATATATATATATATATGTATATATATATATATATATATATATATATATATATATAATTTTATAATATGTGAACCATTTATTAATTTTAAAATTACTTTGGTAATTTATCTAAAAATTCTATTTTTAGATATTTTAACATATATTGTTAAAGAATACCAGTCATTTCAGTTAGTCCTGTCATACTCAAGCTGGCATTAGCTTTGGACACAGGTTCTTAGGTGGAAAGTCAACACTTGAGAGTAGCAAAGGGATCTCACTGCCCCTGCAAGGAAGCAGGAAGCCTGACTGCAATGGATTTGGGCACTGTAATCTACGTGAAAGTCTTATAACAGGAACTGGAAACTGTGCCAATCTGTTCCCTAAACCATATTCTCAATTGGTGAAGGAGGGTGCCCAATTCCTACTTTCAGTCTTCAAAATGCTTGCTTTTTCCTCAGCTGTGTGCCAGCCACTTCTGAACATTTTGGTAGTTAACAGTATATGGTACTAGGTCTGCTTTTGCTTCTTTGTTTCTTCAGTGCAGCCTGTGGAGAGGTTTTCTGAACATTTAGTCATTAAAGCCATTTCAAATATAAAAATGTTACGCATGTTTTTTCATTTGAAAAAAATAAAAGGAGAGAAACTCTTTAGACTTGATCTGTTAGAGAACTTACTTGTAACTTTTTCCAAAATCCATTTGAATGACAAACTTAAGTGTTAAAACTTTGGTTGTGACGCGCATTTGTTTTTATCCCTAAGATGAATTAAACTACACTTAATGGAGAAAAAAGAGATTCACTTTTTTGAAGCATGGAGTCTTAGAAATTGCTCTCTACCTATTTTGTGTCCAGCTGTGTAACTTCCCTCTCTGAAGCATGTGCATAGCGTGACATTTAAAATACTAATTTGAAATTTAGTTTATTTTTTTGTCACCTGTGCACTGCTTGCAAATGTTTAGGACTTTGTTTTGTCTTCTTTTGCATAGGTGTATGTTTATGTATATACAGCATTCCATCCACTTCCCCCACTGAATGCCAGCTATTTCACTGTTATGGAAACTCAAGGATTTTTGTGTGCAAATCCCTAAACATACTCATTTCTTTTTTTTACAGCAGCATAAGAAAGAAGTGTTGAGAGCTGCTCTTAACCCTTTTGGAGGCCGAAGTCAAAAGGTAAAACCAAATACTAATGTTTGTGTTTCTGAAGGTGTTGACAGCCTAATTGTTTGGAAATGCTGCTTCCTTATCACATCTAAACTAAGATTTCCCACAGGAGAAAAGCAGGGATACGGTAAGAGGAATCAAAACATTATTAGACCTTTTTAAGAGCCACCAGCATATCTGGGCATAAATTATACAGGTAAGTTACAACTGGTAAACTGCAATTATCTGTTTTACTTAATATGAAAACATTGGCGTTGAGAGTCAATGGGAATTTCAGTAGGATTTAATATTGCTAAGGATTTAATGATTTTTGTCTCACTATTACTTGATAGTTTTTATGATATATAAAGTTTTTTCAAATTACAGTAAAACAAATCCTGTAGCTCTCTTCTCAGGCAAGAGTCCCTCAATGGGAGTTTTGCCTGAGTGAGAACTGAATGAGGTCTAAATAATTAGCAATTAAAATATTCAGTTATTGTGCCACTGTATATAACAAAGCACTGGAGGTATTAAAAATTGCTAATCTCCTTCTTATTAAAATGTTAACTGCTAAACATAATACAGTTTTGCATTTCTATCATTCATTTTTGCAGTTCATTAGTAGAGGTGAAATGTTTGTGACAAATAGTCATTTGAACTTTTAAGGGATTGACTTTGTTTTCCTGGCATTTTAGTTAATATTTCTGACTGAGTTAATTTACAAGCAGAAGTTTTTGCATAAGCCGTGGATTTTAGTAAAAAACCTGATCATGAGTAACTTCTCATATGCCATTCATGAGTATTTGCAGAAGAAAGCCAGTGGTAGGCTGCTGCTCAGGAGGCAGGCCTGGGCAGTTTGAGTATGTAATTTATGTATGTTTATGGCAGTTTCAGTATGTAATTTATATACATTTTGATCAAGCAGCTTCTTGTAATGGACTCCAATGATAGGTTAAGGGTTGTCCAAAGGGTTTACTGGACAATTTTCAGTGAGACACTGGCATGTGAACAGTTCTGAGGAGCAAAGTTGTGCACCCCAGGCCTGTTAGTCAGCACATGAGCTCTTTGTTACCCTGCTAGTTAATGGAAGGGCCAGACTGTGCTCTCATCCTGTTTCACAGTGCAAAAGAATGAGTGAGATGCATCTCCTGTCTCCTTCTTCACGTGGCAGCAGGGGAAGTGTGGGAAGGGAGAGTCATGTTTGGTGTTAGAGAACAGAGTGGTAAGTGAAGGTGGTAACTGGTAGAGGAAGAAGATGAATTTATGGAAAGATTTGGTGACAGGTGAATTTCCCAGGGGAAGGCGACACCCTCAATACTATTTCTCCCATTGTCGCTCCCTAGAGAAGATTTGTTACTTACTATGCCTAAAGGTTTTTCTTTTTTCTGATCTTTCTGTAGAGACATTTAGACCTAGGCATTTAATTGTGCCATATAACTGTTGGCAATTCAGGCCATGATTCTGCAAGGATTTAGATGTGTATTTCACTTGCAGCATTATGAGTAATCCTGTTGAAATACATGAGATTAATTGCAGAACGTAAAGTTGGGCATGTATGTTTGTCTTTGCAGTAAAAGAGGTATAGTTTAATTTATTTATTTACTTTCAGGGTGGGAAATTATTTTTAAAAATACATAAATACATGGTGTTTTCCACTAATTTTGTAGCAATAAAAGAGGAGAGGGATGGTAGCAAAATAAGCTTTCTGCTTGCTCCCCAAAATTACATTTTTGTCATGTTCTCAGCTGTAAAGTATGGGTAAGAATAGGCTGCTAACATTTTCCTTTTTGCATGCAGTTAAACCTCCAGCTAGAATGAGATGATCATAAGATTTATTATAGAGGAGTGAGCAGGACAGAAATCAAACAGGAAGGCATGTGTACTTGTGTGGACTCTTGTTTATAATTTCATCAGATTGGTGCACACCTCAGACATTTTATGTAGTGATAAGATATGCAAATTATTCTGGAGCCAGCAGCAATACCTTCACCTGAATGTCAAAACTGGCAGAGATTTTTAAACCAAACCTCAATAACAACTTGTATTTTAAAGCAACTTTCCTAAGGTATAGCTACCAACTACAGACAAGTAAGTGCAGAATTGTTTCCTACTTTCCTTCTTACCATTTTCCTTCCTCTCTTGTTTACCTCCATGGAGGAACAAGACTACAGGCTTGCCTGTAAATACTGGGTGTAACTATGGGCAACAGTGCGGATGAGCTACAAAGGTATGTGGAAGTTTGTGCAAAGCACAGGAATGCAGTTTGAAAATGGGGAGACCTGTGGAATGAGAAGCACCAGAGGAGATGTCTTACTGTTTCTCCATATGCCTACATCACATCTTTGTATCTCTGAAGGGATGAGTAGCACGGACTCTTCATTTCAACTGCTGGTTCTGTCTTTGGTTTTAGTTTTCTTGCATTTGTGTCCTTTAATCAGAATGTGTTAGTAGAAGCCTGTGGATACAGTGGAATGTTTGGATGGTAGCTTTGCCATGAGATCAAGAGATGAAATTCCTCAAAGATGTAGATGTTCAGCTGTTGGGGTTTTGGTTTTAAGTGTACATACACTCATGAGAGAAAGGGTGTCACTGAATATGCAGCCTGGGATTTAAATGTTAGATGTGTTTATTTTTTGAATCCTTGTTCAAGTCAGTGTGCACTGACTGTAAAGTGATAATCCTGTGCATTTTCCCTAGATTCCTCCTCTTCTCTCTGTGGATGTTTGCACATAACTATGTCCAAATGCTTCCCTCTGAAGTTTTCTTAGGACTTTCTTGGCTTGTTTTCTTATTGTTGTTGTTTTTAGTGTGTGTACCTAATTAACCAGAAAGCTATCTAGACTGAAAACATCCAACAAAGGGTAACAACACAAGTTCCTGATTAGAAGGATATGACCTGTCCATAAAATAAGTCCTATAATACATTCTCATGGATCTGGGTGCTCTTTGTGAAAAAGCCAGAATACTCAAGTCTTACTGCTTGTGCGGATTTGGGCCACTGCAGCAGAACATTTTTCTTACAACAACTAATTCTAGGACCTACTTTGGTGTTGTGGATACTTGACTTCTACCCACTCAAACAGGAGCACTTCAAAATAATTAAAGTAAATGAATTATCCACACACAGAGCAAACCCTTTCAGAGGGAAAGTGAGTTTAAGGAAAGCAAGAATCTGCTTTTTTTTTTTTGTGTGTGTGTTTTTTCTAAATCATGTATTTCAAGGTCTTCTTAAATGACAAGTGAATGCTTTTGTTGAAACAGAAAAAATCAACCTGAATTTTTGATTGTCATTGCTGCCATGGCTGATGAAGTTAAATCATTGAAAATTAAAAAAAAAAAAAAAAAGCAGATGAAATTTGTCTTTTCAAGCTGGAGTCCAGGCAGTAGTGTATTGCCTCTCTACAAAATGCTTACTGAGGTAGCACTGGAAGAGATACAGTGGGTGTTGTGGTATGTTCACTTTTAATGCACTGCTGTAAGAGACTTGGAAAGATTTGGAAGTATTTGAGGGAATTTTCCTGATAGGCTGTAGGAATTCTCCTGGTTTAGTCTTTCACCTGCATGGATACACTTTAACCCTCTGTTGCAGTCCTGGTGCCATGGCTGCAGCTACCAACATGGACACTTGGCCAGTTGACACAAGAATTGATCACTTGTTGCTGTATAGGGAATAGTTGCCTAGATCTGATACCAATAACCTTGTTAATCCTACCAAAACCTATGCATTCACGTTTGATAAATGTTGATACTGGAATCTGTCATGTTCTTTCAACATCAAGCTTCACAGGAAGTCTCTGCATCCGTGTAGAAGTCCTCCTTTACTTGCAGCTCCAGGAGGTGAAATTCAGCTTCTTTCTTATGTTGACACTACATTTGCTGGGTTTTTTTCACTGCTGAATTTAATTCCAGCCATCCAGTAGCATTCCAGAGGAAGAAGGGACCAGCATTGCAGCCTTCACTGATGTTTCTCTGCTTGTGATGAACCAGCCCACTGAGCTGGTTAACCATTACACTGACTTTTTCCTGTTCCTTCATAGCTGATTTATGCCCAGGGGATATGGGTTACCAGAGCCTGAACCCAAAGTTCAGTATTGTGTGTGCATGTGTGTTTATGTTTACCTGCATGCATGTCTGTTGTGTTATCCAGCAGATATTCTAGCAAAACTAACAGTGCCAGGCCAGTGTGCCTGGTTTTAGGTATAAGTCACAGGTAATACTTTACTCTTCCTCCTTTATTGTTTTTGATAATGAATGTGAAAGGACTGGCCTCTTAAATCAACACACTGTTTCCTCGTTCAGTGCTTTAAGCATGGAGTTTTAAGGACGCTAAAATTCTCTTTCTTAGAGCACATTTGAATCATGTGGCCTGTGATTCATGTTGATTTGCCAGGGGCCACAACCTAATACCTCCTCTTTGAAAACGATAACATCCCTCTTCACTGAGAGTGTAAAAGTGGTGGCCAGAAGTATATGCCAGGGAAGTATTTTGAGATTCAAAACAAGATATTTAGGTGTCATGGTTTTTGATCAGATGTGTGCCAGGGTCAAAGCCAAGAAGAAACTTTCAGTCATTCTCATTTTCTTCATCTGAGCTGCAGATCATCTGGTAGTATTTGGATGACGTGGCACAGGTGACACTTGCCACTTTTGCCACATGGAACATAATTTGACTTTGAATTCTTTGTTCTGTGCCAGTGACTCAGTTTACATTCTTCGGAAAGGATAAATAGCAATTTTGCTGTCCAGATGTCACATTCAGGTGTCCAGACAGATTAAAGTACTGGTCTTTAATATCTGTGGTGTTTGTTTTGGGAAAGTTAATTTTCTTCAGTGGATAGCTCAAGACAGTGAATTTTTTTGCTTCATCTCCTGGCCGATTTCTATTCCATTGTCTTTGAAACAGGGAAGACTTGGCTTCCCTGTTTTTCTGTAAAAGTAGAACGTGGCTTGACAAGGAATTAATTGTTAAAGAGGGGGCTAAATCCTCCATCTGGTGGTTCAAGATTTTAACTTCAAATGTTATTGTGTCC